TTAGTGACCGTTCGGTGTTATAAGTTTTTAGAATACTCTTATTGTTTAAAGAGGACTAAAATCTCTTGTCGAAGTTGGTTATTGATTCTTCGTAAGCATAACTGAGCCATTAATTTCTGAATTGATTAACTGAACAAACTAACCTTAATTAAGCGAATTATGAAATTAGTGGCCATCCTATCGCTATCACTGAGCAAAGTGCGGCTCACCCAATCGCTAAAAATATTAGGAGGAACAATTAGGTATTCGTAAAAACATCAAAAAATCTGATGAGATTAAATTTTCTACGGATGCCTCGATTAGCACTTTTCACGTCTTCAACTCATGACGGGAACATTTTTTAGTTCGTCAGTTCAAATTTTAATTTAAAGTTTACTGGGACTGGATTTAACTCCAACGGCACTCGTGCAACATTCTTTTCCGCCATCAAATTTGTTGTGGGTATGCGTATTATTGGATTAAAGGTCTACATATAATGCTTACAATGTACAATGTTCGGAGTGGTTGAGGTTTTCGTAGGAAGACTCAAATGGGCGCCCATGCGGACTAACATGCATATACTAACATATATATGTATACTCTTAGGTGTATGAGTGTGTGTGCGTATAAACCGGTAAGGAGATTGTGAGATTATTGTGCCTTATAAGCCATTAATGGTGCGCTTTTTGTAACCCATTTGACCGCATACGAGTAAATATACCGATATTGCAGAACACACACACTGCCACTAGCACATGCACCTACAACAATCTACTCACTTCTACTCAGTGTTTGCTTGCCACAGAATCTCGTAGTGGGTAAAACACCAACCACAGACCAATAAATGGGACAAAGTGGTACAATAACAACAAAAAAACATTCCTTACAACGAAAACGCACAAAAAGCGTCCAACCTTTTGAGACTTGCCCGCCATACTTTACAATTGCCTAACTGCCGCACTACCCACAAAACCAGGCACAGCAGGTTTCCCCACAAAAAAGCTCCATGTGTGGAACTCAAGAGCGGTCTCACAGCGGTATAGCTAGAGGTAAGATGTGCTTTCTTTTTGATTTTAAATGCTGTTTTGCATGTAAACGGCAGCTGAACTAAAAGCGCACAAAGGCATTTTACACCAAAATCACATAAAATTTTTAAAGTTTTGTGAGTGTTCTCACATATGAACATTGTATTTTAGCAATGAAAAGAAATCCTTTTAAATCGTGTCTGAGAGCTGGCTTTTTTCTTGGGAAACAACGTTAACTTTGGTTCCACCGAAGCTATAATACAATTCACAAATACAAAGATTCCTTACATGAACTGTGATGGGTCAGTTTTTATGGCAGCTTTATGCTATAGTGATTCGATCTGAACAATTTCTTCGGAGATAGCACCGTTGTCTTGGACAATAACTCATGCCTAATTTGGTGAATATACATTCTCAAATGATAAAATTTTCCATACAAGCACTTAATTCCGATCCTTTAGCATTGAGTAAAAACACGTCAAGTGGACCCCCCATTTTCCACTTGATCATCGAATTTGAATGTGAGTACTTTTTCGTAAAGTAGTCATCATGAGCAAGTAATCCCCCGCTCAGTTGTTTTAAATTTTAATTTTAACAACAATTTTTTTTTAATTGAAAATTTTTACTACTTTTAGTTAAAAAATTAATAATTAGAAAACTATTGGTGATTTTTAATGAAATTTTCAGGAGTTATAGTTCAAAACTTGTACTTTGAGAAAACATGTATGAATTTAAATGATTTTTTTTTTTCAAATTGGTGATTAACTTTTAAGTTAAGAAATGGAAATTTTAATAACTTCTCCCTCAAAAAATTAAAAAAATTTTTTTTAGTATTTTGCAATAAACATTAAAGTAACGAAATCCGCAAAAAAATTTGACTGATCGCGATTGGATTAGGTAAAAAAAAATTTTATGACGGGCCGTCAGCGCTGCCGGTATAGCGGTTTATGTTTGTGCGGTTCGGCAACGCGACACTTAGAGTGTGTTGCATATTTCATTTGTATGTTGGGATGATGGTCTCACATTTTGCTTGCAGTGAATTAGCATGAATGTGGTAGAACAATATGCCAGAACAATATGGTAGAGCAATATACCTACCCGCCCAGTATCTACAAGTATGTGAACAACAAAGGAATATCTCGAGCCATTCGGAATTTTCTTGATAATTAACCATGAGCCTCGTTAAAAAATGCTGCAATCCATTTAACAAAAAAAGTCATTAAAAACTTAGTTTTAATATGAAATTCTTAGTGAATTATCGGTGAATAAATATCCTAAAGTCAACAAGCCTGAGAAGTCAAATGATGTTATCGAAGATGACGAAGAAAAATATTCTACTTTTCATTGCAAACCGGTAGATGACAAATTAAAAATTGATAAGGTTAATATATTTTTAACGGAAATTGGTGAACCTCCAATCAAAATCAAGAGAGTCTCAACTAATAAAGAATGTCAAAACGTTTTAACAAATGTTGTGAGTAAATTTACGGACTAGTATATTTACAATATAAATAGTGAAATTGATCCAAAAGAGCTTTTACTTAATAACTTTAAATCTGCTTTCAATGATAAAACTAGTAGAGCTGATAAAATTCAGGTTTTGACTATGCTTCCTACAGATTGGTCGATTAAAATGATAAGGAAAGATTTGATTTTTAATAAATTTTACATGCTTTGTAATGTATGCTTGAAGACTGGAATTGTAGCTGCGCTGTCAGTCCAAGAATGCATTTCTTCAAAATATCCGCCAGATTTATGACGCTTCGTTTGCTTTTCATTAATTTCAGTCCACAGTTGTAGTTTGTCTTATTGTGTTCAGTAATATATATTTTTTTTTATTTCGGTAATTAGTCTATCGTCTGTCATCCTACACTCTGCACTACATACTCGTATATGATGGAATGGAACGAAGCCACCTAACAAAAAGGACGGGATCATCGCTAAATCAGCATTCGCTTATTAGACAGCCAATACAGCGATCCTACACATTCGCTAACACACATTCGCAAAGATTCGCTTATCGTCTAGAAATAAAAGTAAATACCAAATCGGTTCATATTTTTCGTGGCTTCCAGAACGACACACACGGTAATTAAAACCATCAGCGAACTTTAATTATATATACACAGAGTATTAAGCTAGATATGTTAACAAAATTAATAAGGCTCAAACACTTTCTTGTTATAAGATATTATAATTTCGCACTGAACATTATTTTTTAAGAAATTCGATTTATTCTTAACTATTTTAGGTTAATTAAATTTTGATTTATTTCGCATTATTTTACTTTTTATTGTATTTTTTACTGTTTTATTTCAGTTCATTACATAACTTTATTTTATTTTAATTAATTAAATTTAATGTAATTTAATTTAATTTTATTTTACTTTAATTTTTTTAATTTAATTTAATTTAATTTGATTTTATTTCATCTTATTTATTTATTTTTATTTATTTAATTTTATAAATTTTATTTATCTTATATTGATTCATATATATTATTTTTAATTTTTTTAATATTTGGTTTTAATTAATTTACTTATTGTGTAACACACTGTACCATTCCAGTGTTTCAGCGTGTTGTAAATAATTGCTAATATGAGTTAATTACTCCACATTGTGTATCGTCAATTTATAACATGAATTTCGCATTTCTCCGATGATATAATAATTGACGAACTTCAACACTTTTCCATTTTGCTCAATTTATTGATTTACGTATGTATTATGAGATTATTTGAAACAGTCGCTCAAACATAAAATATTCGCAATTAAAACTGCAAAGCAAATACCAATTGAATAACAACAAAAGCTAAAGTGGACATATACACATGTATGTTTGTATGTTGGTGTATTTAAATATATGTACATCTATAAATACATATATGTGTATAAGCACTGACGGCACAATGATAAATAATACTACAATTGCATGCTCAGCAGGAAGCGCAGCCTCAAAATCATTGCTACTTTTCTTTTCCACCAATCACGTGTTGTCTCTTGAACGCCCTGCGGCTGTGGGCATGCAATAAAAATATGTTTGTATGTACTTTGCGAGCGTGTTATAAATATATAAATCGCTTTTGTGTGTGTGTGAAGTGCACAAGCCTTTTCTTTCTCTGTTCATTAATGTACGTGCGTGTGTTAGCTTGTCGTGTTTGTTTTTATCATTAATTAAGCGTAGCATGTGACTTCGCCCGACCGACTGACCGAGTTATGGCTGCGTTATTGTCCACGTTATCATCAACATTTGCCTCCAATTAACTTTTGGCGCGCACAATCTCACAAATTCACGAGCGCAAGTATTAAGTAATTTCACACACAAAAACACACCTACGGACATGCAATTAGTGGCTGACTACTTTTTGCCTGCTTAACTACTTTACTTTTTTGTTTGATATACAGTTGTGCGAGAATATGTTTATTAGTATTCGTCACGCCGTTGGAAGTCTCAAAAACACCGTTATACTCCCATTTCCGGTGACATGCTATCAAATTGGAAGTAAGAACGCATTCCCCGCACAAGAGCGCTTTATTAACGGTCAAATTTCGTAGACGGCAGCCTGTAGCTCAGCGACAGCGTCTTTGACAGTAAATTAAATGCGAGCATGTGTGTGCTTGCTTTTGTTATATACTAATACAATATTTGTTAAAATTTCGATTTATTGTACTGTGATTGTTGTTCTTCTTCTTCTTTGTTGACAGTGGACGATATTATATATATATATATATATATATATATATATATATTTTTTTTTTATAAATATCTCCATATAATCCAAAAAAGTCCTAATGGCAATAAACCTTAAAAAGCTCGCGTAAGATTCACTGCTATAGCAATTGGTATATAAGCACATATATACATACACACTCAAAAAAAATTGTATATTATTGTATATATGCATGCAAAATTATGTTTTCGCGCGCATCTTCAAAAACATTCACACACTGACTCAAACGGATCCGGAGGACAAACACCTCCACTCACACACATACCACTGTAGCAGGTGTTGTTGTTTTATAATATATATATTTCCGTTATAATTCCTTCTGCTTAATATACCAGTTTTGTTGACACCGCGACGATGACTGATGACTGACTTATACAGTGGTCCAGTGATTTGCTACCAAAGAAAAGCCAAGTGATGCACATAATAACAACAACAAAAATGTACTTTTACGATAGCGAGTGTTGAGTTTCTACTTAGATTGCTATGAGGGAAAACGCGAGAGCACGGAAAGGATGTTCTGAGGCAGATTATTGCTATTAAAGACAGCATGTGACTTTATACTGGTATTGGTAAGCAGTTGAACGCAGAGAGAGAGAGCAATGAGCAGAGCAGGATTGAAAAACAAGGACGCTTCGTGATTGTTTATGTACATACATATCTTTACCTTATTGATAAAAACAGAGAGCAAGATTGACTTCTACATACATATATGTATCTTGTCTATATAGGCATTTATATACTTACGTTCTGGGTATAGCTAAACATTCCAATTCATAGTTGTGGTTTTATATATATTTAAATGGAGAATTTCTTCAAATATCGAACTAGGTAAACACATCAACATTAAACATCCGTTGATCTCAGTGTTAAATAATTCACATAGTTCTATTTTGGTAAGTATATATTAACAATAACAACAATTTAATATATTTTGAAGAAGGTGAGAAAATCTCCTGATAAAATAATTTGAAACTTCCTATAGGTTAGAGCAGTGGTTCTCAAACTTTTTTAATGACGGAACCCTTTTGGGAAGCAAAATACTTGATGGAACCCTACAATAAAACAATTGTTTTTATAAGTGTATTCTTTATTATTCAGCATAATAAAAGTAAAATGTAACAGTGACTAATTATTATTTACTTCACTAGTTGGCAAGGACGATAATATGTAGTTTAGTCGTTAAGTTTTTGAAAGATATCCGCCATAAAAGACAATCGAAACAACCAATTTTTATCATACAAACGGTCCTTCAAATTAAAAGAAGTATCTGCTGAAAGAAACATTTGTAACTCGGCTCTGAGTTCAAATAGCCTTGTTAAAGTTTTACCCCGAGACAGCCATCGCACTTCTGTATGGAGCAGTAGTGTTTTATGTTTGCTGCCATAATCTTCACACAATAATGAGAACAATCGGGATTGTAGTGGTCGTGATTTGATAAAATTAATTATTTTTACAGCTTCATCCATAACTAATTTTAGATTTAACGGCATTTGCTTCATCGCAAGTGCTTGTCTATGCAGAATACAATGACTGGAACTACAATTAGGTGCTTTATTTTTCATTCGTGACACTGCTCCTGCTGTTTTACCTGTCATCGCCTTGATTATTTTCTTCAAAGAATATATTTATTTTATTAAAAATTTCTTCCCCGGTAGTGTTTGTAAGCAGCGGTGAACAAATAAGCATGTCTTCTTCAAAAGAACTTTTATATGGATATCTCACAATAACCAGCAGAATAGCCAAACCAGCGACATCAGTCGACTCGTCCATTTGCAAGGCGAATCGTGTATTTTGTAGACGTGTAACTAGTTCTTGTTTGACGTAGCTTGCCAGATCGTTTGATAGCGGAACAGTAGATAGATGCTTTGCAGATTTTTCATCGAGCATACGTTTTGTTATGTCTAATACACATGATGTTATTAAATTCTCAGCGATAGTGTGCGCTTCACCTGCTTGTGCAATGCGATAGCTAACTAAATATGATGCCTCCGTGGCCTTTTCGTTGATAGTTTGTGTTACATGCATCATATTTTTTTGACTTTCTAATAACTGATCTTTTTTGCGAACAAAAAATTCTTTATTCTTGTCTTTAGACTCGGGGTGTACAGTTTCTAAATGTCGGCGAAATTTGGCAGGTGCCATGGAACTATTAGGAAGCAGTTTACTACAGAGCATGCAGAGAGGAGAGCTATTGGAATCAACAAATCCGAAACTGATATAAGATTCACCATACTTCCTTTTTTTCGTTTTTGAAACCGTCAAGCTTGACGTCGAGGCATCATCTTCTGGATCGGTGATTGCTATATTCTCCGCGCGCACTGCTTTTGAACATTCAGCGTTATTAGAAGATGTTGTTGCAACACGTTTAACACCTTTAAGCCAACGTTCCATTCTTCTTTATTTATAATGTTACACGTCAGGATAGTGGGGTTTAAATAATGCACAATCGTTACTGCGTATAAGAGACTAAATTTACCCTTTTTAGTACTTTATGAGTTGCCGCTTTACACTAATATAAGTTTGAAAAGGTCTTCGTATTGTAATTTGATTTTTATATTTTATTGTCAAGTTAGGTGGCAACATCATATTATTTCATGATTAAAAATACGTTTAAATTTTTTTAGAAAGATGGCAGCCCTGATGCGGATTTTGTAAAAGCATTGCCCTTATTATTTACTAATGCCCAATATGAAAGTTGCAACATATTTAAGGTTTATTGGTGACTGTTTGTAAGATGGGTGGTAACTCCATTTTTTTTTTTCAAACAATGTACAATTTTCAAAGCACACATAATTTATTTATTAATTATGTGCAAGTGGCAACACCTATTTTACTTTATACCTTCATTGAACTATTTGTGCTGAACTAATTAATGTTATAACTGATAACTGACGTATAGACAAGGCTGGGTTAGGTTAGGTTAGATGGCTGGTCCAAAGATTGCATTTGGACTGCTATATTCACTTCTTTGTGATTCCATAAAAATAAAACACCTTTAATTGAAATTTATAGATCAGGCGTTGCCTTGTGTCCAATAAAAATTTCCTCAGTCCTTTGATTTCTATCCCCACCAATTCGGCGGGACATATAAAAGTATGAGCTCCCAAGTACTTATGCCTTGATATCGCAAACGCAGGAAAGTCAAGAAGGAAGTTCAGAGCTGATTCCACCTCATCTTCTTCCAAAGAGCTTTTGGAGCTTACAGCATAGACGCCGATAGGGCAGTGGCCTGTTAGAACCCCCACCACCAGAGAGATGCTGCCTTGCGCGAAGAGCTTACCTGATTGCTTACGATCGAGCTCGGGCCAAAAGACATACACAGGCATCCGGTAGTAGAACACACGAGGAGACGCAAATACCGACCCGTTCCCACTCTACTGATAACGGAGGTGGGGTACGCTTCCTTGCCAGCCCATCCGATATACAATTGCCTGTGATTCTACTGTGGCGTGACGCCCATACTAGTCTTATCACAAAGTGACTCGCTGCCATTGTTAACAAGGTTTATGCATTCCTTAATCAGTCTTGAACGCACGGTCAAGGAGCTCAAAGCTAGTATCGCCGCCCTGCTGTCAGAGTGGATAGTCACTTCTCTGATGGCTGCACACGGGAGCAGTAAATCTACTGCTACATTAATCTCAGCAACCTCCGATTTAAAAGCCTTACAATAGTCAGGAAGTCTGAAAATAAAGTTTATAGAGAGTTCCCGACAAAATACCCCTTTACTAACCTTCCCCTCAAGCTTTGACCCATCGTAAAGAAGCTCATTGCCCCTCTCCTCCAACGGCTTCTACCCACCCACAGCTCTCACCCGGGTATGGAGGTAGAGAAAAAGTAGTCACAGTTTAATTTGGCGACTACATGTTCAGACATGCGTTCATTTAGAAACACAGATTCTTTGAGTCTGATAGCAACTTTCGCGGACATACACCTTTTGACGATATCTATGGGCACTAAGTGCAAAAAAAAAATCTTGTGTAGATCACTAGAAACAATGTAACAAAATCTACGAATAGTTCTTTATATTATTATATTAGTTTTAGAGTTCAGCAGAATGCTTCTACACCGCAGATTTAGATGATTAAGCAAGTATTTTAAAAATCATGTCGTAAGAGCAGATGTTACATATTTTAATTCAGTAATGAACATTCAAACTCGTTTTTGAGTTGAAATACAATATATTGCCGCAAAACCGCAAATAAAGTCAATTGTTGAAGACTCCGCAACAACAAAGATCAACAAAAACCGTTTTTCTTTAATTTAAATTTTAAACAGTGCTAATTTTATGAATGCTAGTGTATTTATACGCGAATGTGCCAATTTTACTTTAACGATCGAAAAGCCTTTGGAGGAAATAAATTGCAGCCTTTAACTTTCCCATCATTTGAATATTATTTTAATCATGCTACTTAATTGAGAAATACTGCAATTAAAAGGTCATAAAAGTCATTTCATAGCGACTGAGTGTGTATACATTTGTCATCGTAAAACGACAAAAAGCGCGCAGGAATTTGTTTCAAAGAAAATGTTTCTATGAAAGGGTATATATATGGACTAAATAAATGTTTGTATGTTTAAAGAATTCAGACAACAGCATAAATATATCCTCCCTCCTCTTGAAAATGTTGAACTGATAATTTGAACTATTCGATTTGTGTAAAACCCGCAAAAGCTCCACTCCACTTCGAAAGTGGTATACGAGGTTGCTTCTAATCTTAGTTGAGAAAATATGTGAAACCGACAATTTTACGGTGGAAATGAACGAATTAAACATTTATTCACACCGGCAGACAACTGCCTTCCGAGAAAAACAGTTAGTAGGAAACGAGCAGCTGCACAAACACACGAGCATCCAGCAAGCTTAAGTACTCTTAGCCAATCGTTCTATCAAGGCGAGTCAACCCGATCACGTTTACAAAAGGCAGAAAGGCATGGAAGTCATTAAATGTTGCCAGTAATTGTTCGGGGAACATTCATTCTCTCATCGTGCCAAAGTGGCCTCGCTCGTATTGCTACAGTTGCACATCACTTCCTATAATGTCGCCAACAAAACGGAAAAGACAGATTTACAAAATACCACAACAAAAAAAATTATTAACTAACAAGAAATGAGCAAGCACCACAGAGTCAGCTCGTCAGCAAAACAATACGGCGAGAAGCTGCTTAGCTTGCTGCAGACGGTGCAACCGCTAGCAACGAACTTATCCAAAAATAAAAATTAAAACAAAGTTTCAAATATATGGTGCTGCAAATGCACATATAAAATGAAATACTTGTATATAGCAACTAGAGAATATACGCTGATTCACTTAAGCAAGTACGCCTCTGCTTCAATAGTGAAATGATTGAAAACTTTTATACAATAATAAAAGGTGACAACGCTCAATAATTAGCACGAAATTAGGAACGAAATTAGAGTAAAAATTTAAAAACCATTTTTGTGTTAGACCGATAATCATAACAACAAATCTTAAAAGAAACAATATTTGAAATAAATCTTTTATACAGGAATTAATTTTAATTTTTTTTTGCGTAGGTCTAGCCTCAGAATATAAGCATTCCTGGAACATTTAGAAATTTTTCTTAAACCTGTCTAGAGATATAAACTTATTTATTAATACATAATGGTTGTTTTCGAAAGTTTCCTCAATTCATGCCAACGCTACCACTATTGCGATTTTATTTTTCTACTTCGCAAAACTGTCAATGGCTCTTTGTAGTCTTCTTAGAAAATGTGAGCGAAAGCTTTGCCTAAATATCGGTTCAATACATCCAAAATAGGGGATAACACAAGCATTTTATAGCGAATGCACCCTGCAAAAAGCAAAAACAACACCCACGGCTCTAGTTTAGCTTCTACTGCGACATGAAAGCGAGTGGCCGGCAGAAGCGAGAGGACACGCCAACTTATTATTCTTCTTAATAGCATTGAACAATCATTGCAGCGGAGTTAGCACGATGCTCGTAAGTTGCAGATACTTTTGAGCTCAATAGAAAGCAACATAAAATTCAACACTTGCTATTTTAGCGGTTTTGCGGATGCGAACGCAAACGAAAACTTGCAATAACAGCAACAATTCTAACTATATTTCACGAATTTCTGCTAAAGCTGGTGGCTTCCTCTTCACTTTTCTTCCACATTTAAGTCTGTAGTTTTATAGAGAACTCTTTTCAAGCAAAGCAGTTAAAGCGATGGATGTTTTTGAGTGGTTTATTGTGGCCTACACATAGCTCGCTTCGGTAGCGGGGGGTAGCGCTTAAAAATTGAGATTTAGGTTGTTGTCCGGTGTGATGGCTTCAAAAGATCTTTTCGTTTTTTTTCTAATTTTTTAATAGAAAAACCTTTCAAAATTATACTGTAAAATTTCCAGACTCATTATTTTCGAAGTTATAGTCACAAACGAAGAGGGCGGCGTAGTGTGTATGAAAGTAGTGGCTATGTAAGTACTTGTATTATTTGTTGTCAAAACTTTGAACGTGCTTTTCTCTATATTTTCAAAATTTCCGAGAAACCAGGTAAACACAGACCAAATTATTTATACTATTTAACCGATTTGGCTAACAACTAAATTCATTATTCTAAATATATATAGCTAAAAACTTAACTCTTAAAACATATATTTTTTTGATAATATATTAATTTTTTTAAACAATTTGTCAGCAAAGAAAGAAATCGATTTTCAATACTTTTTTCCCAAGTTCACTATATATTTTTTTTTTGCATATTATGGGTTAGTAATATTAGTTAACTATATACTTGTACAACAATAATTTCTTCGATTTTTTTTTATTCCAGATGACTAATATCGTTTTTTTTTTATTCCAGATGACTAATATCGTTGATGTTGCCAGGTGCCAAACGATTTAAAGAAAAATTTAAAAGTCGCCAGAATGTTTTAGTGCATTATTCTAATTGAGAAAGTAATTTTTTCAGTCCATTAATCTCAATTAAAATATTTACATCACCGAAAGGGATCCGGATTTATATCTTGCAAAAAACTGTCAACCAAGCAGGATTCTCTACAATGATTTCTTTAGTACCTGAAAAACACTGACTCCGTCCAGTTGGTCTACTGTTGTTGGTTTAATTCCACTTATTTTTATACTCTCGCAACCTCTTGCTACAGAGTATAATAGTTTTGTTCACCTAATGGTTGTTTGTATCACCTAAAACTAATCGAGTTAGATATAGGGTTATGTATACCTATATAAACGATCAGGATGAAGAGACGAGTTGAAATCCGGGTGACTGTCTGTCCGTCCGTCCGTCTGTCCGTCTATCCGTCCGTGCAAGCTCTAACTTGAGTAAAAATTGAGATATATTTATGAAACTTGGTAGACATGTTTCTTGATACCGTGAGACGGTTGGTGTTGCAAATGAGCGTAATCGGACCACTGCCACGCCCACAAAACGCTATTATTCAAAAACAAATAAATTGCCATAACTAAGCTCCACAACAAGATACAATACTCTTATTTGGTATACAGGATCACAATAGGGAGAGGCATCTGCAGTTAAAAATTTGTTTTTAAAGTGGGCGTGGACCCGCTCCTAATAGGTTTAATGTGCATATCTCCTAAACCGCTAATGCAATAATAACAAAATTCACTGGAAGCAAATGTTTTTAGAACCTCTACATACAGTGTGAAAATGGGAAATTCGGGTGGCAACTCCGCCCACTCCCGATATAACGGTACTGTTAAAAACTACTAAAAGCGCGATAAATCAAGCACTAAACACGCCAGAGACATTAAATTTTATCTCAGGAATGGTATGAGATGACTTTATGGGAACCGCGTTCAAAATTTGACAGTGGGCGTGGCACAGCCCACTTTTAGGTGAAAACCCATATCTTGAGATCTGCTTTACCGATTTTAACCGAATTCGGTGCAATCCACAAAGAAATCCACAAAGAAATCTCAAACGAGTATACTATTTGACTTTGCGAGAGTATCAAATGTTCGGTTACATCCGAACTTAGCCCTTCCTTACTTGTTATCCATATTTTCACTCCCATACTCTGCCCTTTTGTTCTAGCAAATATTTTTTACTTCCATTAATACAAACGATACTATGTGATATATAAATATGTGTATGTGTTTTTACATATGTTTTTATCTGTGGAAAAAATTAGGCAATTCACAAGTTTTGTCTTCTATCTTATGCCGTATTTCAAGAATGCTAAAAAATACGACACCTGTGAGCAGCCCTTAATCGTTGTATTATATGTCATATTGTGTAATATTTCTACACTCCACCAGCTGGTAGTGAAAAATTAAGAGTTCAAAAATGCCACGACAAAGTGACAAAAATAAAATTAAAGCTTCTTTATATGAAAACTTTCTTATTGTTGAAAGGGTGGCGTTTTGGTTTACACTGCAATGAAATCATTTCCAACCACAAAAATAACAAACTATTTTAATATTTCACTTTTCTTCGACTTAATTTACCTGAACATCGTGGTTTCCTTCCATATATATAAGTAAACATATACAGCTGATAGAATAGCACACTCAAAAAACATACCTCGCCATGTTGTATTTTTCGTATTTCAATTTTGTATGGGAAACAACAACAGTGTTGATATGACAGTCAGTAAAAAAATTAGACAATAAGACGATACGCCACAATATGACACCTTGCGAATACCCTAAATATGAAAATTAAATTATTACGAAATCCATATCTGTGTCAACCTTGCATTATCATCACTTAAAATTATCAGCTTGTACTTTTGGCCCAGTGTGAACCTTAAGAAGTCTTAAGAACTTCTTGCATTCGAAAAGGTACATCTGTCTTTCAAGCTGCAGTAGTTCTGGCTGAACATAGTCATATTGACATCGATTTTGCAAAACTTAGTTGAATCACATTGGCTCTCACTTTCAAAGACTCAGAACTCAGACTTGACTGAAGTAGTCTTTGAGATTTACTAGAATCTTTACAAAAATAGCAGTTACATCTTTGTTACTCATGTTTGGTGCAGATTTTTTCCTCAAACAAAATTTGAAAGGGTATGAATTGAAAAATAAATAAAAAATTTGTTTAAACCTCTACAATATCTCAAAGGTAATCAATGCATTACATTTTTTTTGTAAAAAAATAAATTTTTTTTTTTTATATAATTAACTTCTTTTTTTTAAATTATGGACCGTAAGTGGCCTCCATGCTCAGCCACGCATATGCGACACTTAATTAGAAAATTATTCATTGCGGCTTGAAGGGTTGAAGTCGGGATTGCCACAACTATCGATTTAATGGACTGCTTCAATTCAGTCAGATTTCTGGCTTTTGTTTTGTACACCTCTTGCTTGACATAACACCATAAAAAAACTCTAGTGCTGTCAAGTCAGGTGACCTTGGGGCCAGCCGAAAGTGGATTTTCTAGATATAAATTTGTTTTCAAATTTTCATTGGATTCCACAATAGCCGGTCTAGCTATTTGTGCTGTTATCCGATCTTGCTGGAACCAAACGCTATTCAAAGGGAAACGTCTTCCTCGCAGTTCTTTAAAAAAAAACCTATTCTAAATCTTTAAGTAACTGTGCCCATTCACAGTTACTATTACACCGTTTTCTTCAAAGAAGTATGGTCCGACAATACACCTTAATAAAACTCCCCATCACACAGAGACTTCTTTTGGATGAAATTCCGTCTTGTGGATTATTTCTGGATTTGATTCACTCCATATGTCCAAAATGAGCATCATCAGACATAAACAGGCAATTTATCAATTATTATCTTCTTCGGCCATTTCTATAATTTTTTGGCAAAATTCCAGGCGAATAGGCAAATCTAGAGGTTTTAACAGGCTTGTTATTTGAACTTTGTACGGAAGCAGGTTTAAGTCACCGTGAATTATCCCTTGTAATGACCGTCTGCTAACTAAAAGTTGCGGCGATAAGTTGCGAGTCGAAACTCTTGGATGATGCAATAGTCGCTATTGTTTCTTGCACACGAACATACGGATCTGGATGTCGGTATTCTTGCGATACCTCCAGATTCGACAAATATGTTTAAAAACCTCATAATGGTCCATCTACTCGGGGAGTGCCGCCAAAATCCCGTCTGAAATCCCTTTGGATGGAAATGACGGACTGCAAAGCATGGTACCGCAGCACAATCCAAATCCTCTTTGCGGTAATCCCAAGCATTCATTTTAAATAAAAAATCTAAATAATAACCTGCCAAATTAGAAAAAAGTAAGTCGATTACTAGCACAGAAAAAAAGTTATTACGGTCTGTTTTTGTGGCACTATTCGCGAGCCACATTGTATTTAAATTTTAAAAGTTATCCAATTAAAAAGGGACAGAAGTTAATAAATTAAATAAGAAATGGGAATTGAGATAACTAAAGGAAAAGGCCTAAGGGTCAAATGCGAAAAGGGTGCCAAATGTGATTTTCTCCATCATTTGAACCAGGTCAAGCGTAAAGCATTCTTTCTCAAAAAGGTTACATATGGGAAATACTTGTAACTATGCGAACGCGTTTTGTGTCTGAATTTCTTGATATTTCTATTTTATATCAAGCAAAGTTAAGTTTGCATTTTATGTTAATAGGAATGTGTTAAGCGCTTAAATTCGCATAACATGTGAGCTTCTCAGTTGCATATGAAATTTGTGTGCAAACCACAGACGACATATGTATACATGTGTGAAGATTATTATTTTTCAGACGAAACATAACCACTGCCACTGAATCACTGAAGAAGAACTACTACGAGAAAGTGGGCTTGGAGTTTGGACTTCCTTATCCCAGAGATAGTTTAGTAGTAGAGTTGGAATCACTTTAAAGAGCTAGCTTATTGACCAAATTGGTTGAAAATTTTAAAACTTTATAGGTTATCATCAAGGGTGTTATTTGTATTATAATTCTCTTGCTTCAAAATAGTCCTCAGATCCAACTATCTGGTTTATTTACACATTGAAATTTCTTCTTATATTTTTAAACTATACTGGCCACTGTGGCTTGCACAAATTAATCCCTCTTTCTTCTTTCTTAAATGATGAGTTTATGCAATTAAATAGGAATGTAAGGAAAATAATAGAATCTAAAAAGAAAAAATACAATCAGATACGATGGAAATTGGACAGGTACTAGTCCTCTTTAAAAATATAAACTTTGTTTCACTACTCTTTACATACCTTGTTAGTACTAATATACATTAAGGTGAGCCAAGAGAAACTAATATCGAGTTTATGGGTTAAAATTAACTCATAGACAAGGAAAAAATATCCCAACAAACTTTAGGCAGGTAGGTGTTTAAGAGTGCTGCCCCTTCGGGCTCAATAAGCGCTAGAAGCGCCATTTTGAGACACTTTCGTATGACCTTATATCTTGATATTACGTTCCATTTTTGTGTTCAAACCATTTTTTGCCCAATGAAACTACTTATCTTCGTTATGCTTTTTGTAGATAGACATCCAAGGTTTGGTAACTGATTGATTTCAAAAGTGCGACGTCTGAATTTTGACACGGCTCGGCACTCACAGAGGAAGTGTAAAATCGTTTCCTTTGAGTTTGTAGCTGAGGCAAGTGCATAGTATTATAGGGCATATCCATTTTTAAGGCATGATCTCAAAATGACGAATGATTCGTTATGATTGTCCATATATACCATACTTTTTCTGGACCAATGTAATAAGTCCATAGTTTTATCTTGTTATAATTTGGCCATATTATTTAGTATCCGATATATATATGATGATATATTAATAACATTCTCCTCTCCTACTAAACCACTTCTCCCATGCACGTCTATGGGGTATTCTCACCTAGTAGTCACTATTGAAGTCCAACATTGGGTAGATGTAGTCTGATTAATTTAGATTAGTATCGTGCTGGTTCAAAAGTTCCCTACGTCCATAACTATTCCTCATCCAACCACCAATCTCCTTAATTCATATAG